GAGTGAACAGGCAGCCTACAGAATGGGAGAAAATTTTTGCAATCTACCCATCTGACAAAGGTCTAATATCCAGAATCTACAAGGAACTTCAATTAATTTACAAGAAAAAAAAATACATCAAAAAGAGGGCAAAGAATACGAACAGACACTTCTCAGAAGTCATTTATGCATCCAACAAACATGAAAAAAAGCACATCCTCACTGGTCATTAGAGAAAAGCAAATCAAAACCACAATGAGACACCATCTCACACCAGTTAGAATGGCCATTATTAAAAAGTCAGGAAACAGATGCTGGTGAGGCTGTGGAGAAATAGGAATGCTTTTATACTGTTGGTGGGAGTGTAAATTAGTTCAACCATTGTGGAAGACAGTGTGGTGATTCCTCAAGGATCTAGAACCAGAAATACCATTTGACTCAGCAATCCCATGACTGGGTATATACCCAAAGGATTATAAATCATTCGATAAAGACACATGCACACATGTTTATTGCAGCACTATTTACCATAGAAAAGACTTGGAAGCAACCCAAATGCCCATCAATGACAGATTAAAGAAAATGTGGCACATATCCACTGTGGAATACCAGGCAGCCATAAAAAAAGATGAGTTCATGTCCTTTGCAGGGACATGGATGGAAGCTGGAAACCATTCTCAGCAAACTAACACAGGAACAGAAAACCAAACACCACATGTTCTCACTCATAGGTGGGAGTTGAACAGTGAGAACACATGGACATAGGGAGGGGAACATCACACTCTGGGGTCTGTCAGGGGGTTGGGAACAAGCAGAGGGAGAGCATCAGGACAAACGCCCAACGCATGTGGGGCTTAAAACCTAGATGAAGGGTTGGTAGGTACAGCCGACAACCATGCACCTGTATACCTATGTAACAAACCTGCACGCTGCACATGTATCCCAGAACTTAAAGTAAAACTTCAAAAAAAAAAAAGACACACAGACAAGAAATAACAGATGCTGGCAAGGCTGTGGAGAAAGGGAATCCCTTGCACACAGCTGAGAACGTAAATTAGCACAGCCACTATAGAAAACTATAGTGAAGGCTGGGCGCGGTGGCTCAAGCCTGTAATCCCAGCACTTTGGGAGGCCGAGACGGGCGGATCACGAGGTCAGGAGATCGAGACCATCCTGGCTAACACGGTGAAACCCCATCTCTACTAAAAAAAAATACAAAAAACTAGCCGGGCGAGGTGGCGGGCGCCTGTAGTCCCAGCTACTCGGGAGGCTGAGGCAGGAGAATGGCGTGAACCCAGGAGGCGGAGCTTGCAGTGAGCGAGATCTGGCCACTGCACTCCAGCCTGGGTGACAGAGCGAGACTCCGTCTCAAAAAAAAAAAAAACTATACGGAAATTCCTCAAAAAATAATAGAAGTACCATATTATCTAGCGGTTCCACTACTAGGTATATATCCAATAGAAAGGAAATCAATACATCGAAGAGATACCTGCACTTCCATGTTTATTGCAGCACTATTCACAACAGCTGAAATATGGAATCAACCTAAGTGCCCATAAATGGATGAAGAGATACAAAAAATGTGGTACAGGCCAGGCACAGTGGCTCGCACCTGTAATCACAGCACTTTGGGAGGCCGAGGTGGGCAGATCATCTAAGGTCAGGAGCTCAACACCAGCCTGGGCAATATAGTGAAACCCCATCTCTACTAAAAATAAAAAATTAGCCAGTCATGGTAGTATGCACTTGTAGTCCCAGCTTCTTGGGAGGGTGAGGCAGGAGAATTGCTTGAAACTGGGAAGCAAAGGCTTCAGTGAGCCATGATCGTGCCACTGTACTGCAGCCTAGGCAACAGAGCAAGACTCTGTCTCAAAAAAAATTGGGGAGATATATACACAACGGAATATTCAGCCATAAAATGTATGGCACTCATTTGCAGCCACATGATGGCACTAGAATCATTAAGTGAAACAAGGCAAGTACAGAAAGACAAATATTGCGTGTTCTCACTGATATGTGGGAGCCGAGACAGCAGATCTCGTGAAGATAGAGAGTAGACTAATGGTTACCAGAGGCTGGGAGGGGTAGGGGAAAGGGAGATGACAGCTTGATTCCTAGGTACGAATATACAGTTTGATAGAAGAAATAAGCTCTAAGGTTTGATAGATCGGGAGGGTGACTATAGTTTACAACAGTCTATTCTATATTTCAAAATAGCTCAAAGAATGTGGAGAAAAGGGAACCCTTGTACACTCTGTTGGTGAGAATGTAAATTAGTGAAGCCACTATAGAAAGCACAATATGTGGGTTCCTCAAAAAATTAAAAATAAGACCACATGATCCAGCAATCCCACTGCTGGGATTCCAGAGGAAATGAGCTCTGTGTTGAGGTATCTGCGCGCCTATGTCCATAGCAACATTATTCGCAAGAGCCAAGATACAGAATCAACCTGTGTCCTTCAACAGATGAATGGACAAAGAAATTGTGGTTCATATACACAATGGGATACTCTTCAGACTTAAAAAGGAAGAAGTCTTATCATTTGCAACAACTTAGATGAACCTGGAGGACATCTTGTTAATTAAAATAAGCCAGGCAGGGCTGCTTATGCCTGTAATCCTAGCACTTTGGGATGGCTTGAGCCCAGGAGTTCAACAAGACTGGGCAATATGGTGAAACTCCGTCTTTACAAAAAAAATACCCCACCCCACCCCCCCCCCAAAAAAAAACCCCACAAGAATTAGCTGGGCATACCGGTGTAAGCCGATAGTCCCAGCTGCTTGGGAAGCTGAGGTGGGAGGATTGCCTAAGCCCCAGGGGCGGAGGCTGCAGGGAACCGTGATTGCGCCACTGCACTCTAGTCTTGGGTTAGAGAGTGAGAGACCCTATCTCAAAAAAAAAAAAAAAAAAGCCAGGCACAGAAAGAAATCATGTGACATCACGTATGTGGAATCTAAAAACGATCTCACAGAAGCAGAATAAAATGGTGGTTACAATGCACTGGGGGAGTGAGGTAGGGGTTGGTAGATGCTGGTCAAAGAATTTAAAATTTCAGTTAGGAGTAAGTTCAAGACACTTATCAAACAATATGGCAACTACAGTTAATGTATCATATTGAATAATCATGAGTTTTTTTTGTTTTGTTTTAAAGACATAGTTTCGCTGTGACCCAGGCTGGAGTGCAATAGTGCAATCTCAGCTCACTGCAACCTCCGCCCTCCAGGTTCAAGGGATTCTCCTGCCTCGGCATCCCAAATAGCTGGGACTACAGGCATGCACCACCATGCCTGGCTAATTTTTTTGCATTTTTAGTAGAGGCGGGGTTTTGCCACATTAACCAGGGTGATGTTGAACTCCGACTTCAAGTGATCCACCTGCCTCGGCCTCCCAAAGTGCTGGGATTACAGGTGTGAGCCACCACGCCTGGCCTAAAAATTGCTATGGGATTTTTAAGTGTTCTCATTACAAAAAAATGAGAAGCATATGGGGTGTGCTTATGTTAATTAGCTCAATTTAGCCGTTTTACAACATACATATTTTAAAACACGAACACAAATATGTACATTTTTTGGTCAATTAAAAAAGAAGGCTACAACATTATCTGACACAAACAATACATTGGAGAGGTTTGAGGTCCAAATCAAGGAATTTCAATTTGAGGAGTCAGGTAATAAACTCCCGTAGGTTTTTAAGGGGATGGCCTGTTTTAAGAAAGCTAAATAGCGGCCAGGTGCGGTGGCTCACGTCTGTAATCCCAGCACTTTGAGAGGCCGAGGTGGGCAGATCACGGAGGCAGGAGATCAAGACCAGCCTGGCTAACACGGTGAAACCCTGTCTCTACTAAAAATACAAAAAATTAGCTGGGTGTGGTGGTGGCGGCACTTGCAGTGAGCTAAATAGCAACAGGCTGCTGTGGAGGGAGAACAGACCAAAGGCAAGAAAAGCCAATGAATGGGGAAAATAAACCAACTGATTCAGGCATTAGATTGAGAATGGAAAAAAATCAGCATCTATCAAAAATACGAAATTGAATAATGGAATCGCGGTCAAAAGGGAGATAACTGGGATGGGAGCAAGTTTGTAAGATGAGTCTTTGTGTAACTTTAAATATAAGGATTCCACAGTACTGCAAAATCTATGTAGTTACTTCATCTCAAATCATTTTTGACAATTAAAAAAAAAGATGAGTTTTGTTTTAAATACCAGATGACTTCTAGGCTCTTCCTCCTTAAAATGTGACCTGCAGAGCCAGCCACAGTGGCTCAAGCCCTTAATCCCAGCTGCTTGGGAGGCTGAGGCAGGAGTATCCCCTTCAGCCCAGGAGTTTGAGGCTGCAGTGACCTATGATGGCACTACTGCATCCCAGCCTGGGCAACAGCAAGAACCCACCTTTTTTTTTTTTTTTTTTTGAGACAGACGTTCACTCTTGGTGCCCAGGCTGGAATGCAATGGTGTAATTTCCGCTTGCTTCAACCTCTGCCTCCCTGGTTCCAGCGATTCTCCTGCCTCAGCCTCCCAAGTAGCTGAGATTACAGGCATGCGCCACCATGCCCGGCTAATTTTGTATTTTTAGTAGAGACGGGGTTTCTCCGTGTTGGTCAGGCTGGTCTCGAACTCCCAACCTCAGGTGATCCGCCTGCCTCGGCCTCCCAAAATGCTGGGATTACAGGTGTGAGCCACCGCGCCCGGCCCTACCCAAGCCCCCTCCCCCCCACTTAAAAAAAAAAGTGGTCTCCAGGCCAGCAGCATTGCCATTGCCACCACCTGTGAGCCCGCTGGGCCTGCAGGGGCCACCTCCGCAGCGTTACTGAATCAGTCTAGTTGAACAAGATCCTCAGGTGACTTGTGTGCACATTAAGGTTTGAGAAGCACCTGTTGTTAGACAAGTTTTTAAAGTGGAACTTTTTACTGTCAGAAAAGCAGGATTTACAAAAACCAAGGAAGGAGAGGGTGTCAGATGTTTCAGACACTCTAGGAGGAAATGGCAAAGAAAATTCTCAAATCCAGCTTGCTGGCTTACCTCCTTATCTTCCTCCCCTTCTGTCTGGAAGTAGTTCAGTTGTGCTTTCATCCACGAGTCCCACGACAGGGACTGATGGTGGGAACCTATCACGTGTAAACATAGATATGGGGCCTCCTCTGATTATTGTGTGTAGATATCTGTTCCTATCAGGTTACTGTGAGAATCCAATGAGATGATGTTCACAAACTTTCATGAAATGTGAGCTCCAGAGGAGCTCAGTTTCAATAAGGATTGAATTTTGTGTCACCGTTTTAATTAATTGTGAAGCTTGGATTCTGTTGATGAGGGTGTTAGTTCAGGCTCAGAAGTACAAACGGGCCTTAGAAGAAAAAGTTGCACTCTGAACTGTGTTTCATTTGCAGAACCTTATGCCTGAGGACCGAGAAACCTCCAGCTTTAAATACTTCATGCTAAATGCCCTCTCTGGTCACCACATAACTCACGGGGCGTTAAACTGCCGCCTGTTGGTACGTGATGCTGCTGAAGTCTTCGCAGTTGGCCTTTGCCGTGTGTGGCAGAACAGCCAGTGCTGCAGAGCAGGGCAGCGGACTCCGATCTGGCTGAGCCCCTGGCTCATTCCCCACAGCCGGCTAGAGCTTCGCGGCAATTGTTAGTGCAGATCAGCATTAGTATTTTACATATGTCAAGAAGGGAGTTTTCCACAAGTCGCAGATTTTGCAAGCTACATAGGGATACCTATGCCTTAACACTCAAGAGATGACCTCAAGGAGGGAGGGGCAGAATGAGTGCCTTCCCAGCGATAGGCTGTGGGGTGGTGGTGGAAGGGAGCAAGCCTCTGGTTAGAGTCTCAGCAATGTATTCGTTCAGGAAACATTTCCGGGGAGCAGGCAGGTGGGTGAGACCCTGCTGCCACCCTGACAGGCCTGTAGACGGAGCAGGACCACGGCACAGAGCAATGCCTGTGGACCGCCACACCTCGGCATCTAACCCAAGCATTTCCCACAGCAACCACCCCAGAGGTTCAGAATTGGGGAAGCTGAGGGTGATCAATTCGCCGTCGTCAAAATCAACAGGACTCACTTTGACAACAGTCCTCATACAGCTTTCAGTTGAGATCAAGAAAATACCTGCAACTCTGTTCAAACTGAGTAAGATTTTTGCACTTTGATAGAAGGGATGCCAGGCATGAGTATTGCAACCAACTTTTAGCTGGGCTTAAAAGGCAGCATGACCCTCTACATATTCAAACTACGGTGGGATTTAATGAAGAAGATCCATGAATTGTCATTAAACTGACTTTAGTTGAAGAACTGTGGCAGTTTTATCAGAGCTACTTGGGCCTACTTTTATTAGTTCCTATCGCTGTAACAAGTTCCCACAAATTTAGTGCCTTAAAACAAATTTATCTCAGCATTCTGGAGGTCAGAAGTTCAAAATTAGTCTCACCAGGCTAAAGTCAAGGTGTTGGCAGGGCTGGTCCCTCATGGAGTCTCCAGGGGAGGATTCCTTTCCTTACCTTTTCCAACTCCTAGGGTCTACATACCCTGGCTTGTGGCCACTCCCTCCGTCCTCAAAGCCAGCAGTGTGGCACCTTCGACTGTCTCTCTCCATTGTCATCACAGCACGCTCTCACGCCAGCTGTCCTGCCTCCTTTATAAGAATGCTGTGTTTACATTGAGCCCACCTGGCCAGTCCACGGTGCTCTCCCCATCTGAAGATCCTTAACTTAATCACATCAGTTAAAGTCCTTTTTTCCAGGGAAGGTGGGATATTCACAGGCTTTGAGGATTAGGATGTGGACATCTTTGAGGACCATTATTCTATCACAGGTATGAAGCCACATGACATTTTAAAGGCAAATAGTCTTTTTTTTTTTTTTTTTTTTTTGAGATGGAGTTGTGCTCTTGTTGCCCAGGCTGGAGTGCAATGGCACAATCTTGGCTCACCACAACCTCCGCCTCCTAGGTTCGAGTGAGTCTCCTGCCTCAGCTTCCCGAGTAGCTGGAATTATAGGCATGCACCACCATGCCTGGCTAATTTTTTGTATTTTTAGTAGAGACGGGGTTTCTCCATTGGTCAGGCTGATCTCAAACTCCCAGCCTTAGGGGATCCGCCCACCTCAGCCTCCCAAACTGTTGGGATTACAGGCGTGAGCCACCGCGCCCAGCCGGCAAATAGTCTTTTTGAGCATGGAATCATGACCCAGTCCAGGCTACACTGGTGGCTCTAGAGCAGTGGTCAGCAAACCTGTTCTTAAAGGGCTAGATAGTAAATATTTTAAGCTTTGTGGGCCAAATCCTCAACTCTATATTGTAACATGAAAGCAGGCATAGATGACAAAGAAACAAAGGAGCATGGATGTGTTCCAGTAAAACTTTATTTGCAAAAACAGGTAGCAGGGCAAATTTGGCCCTAGAGTCATACCCCTACTCTAGGTCCAACTAAAATAAAAGAATTCTGTTCAACCTTAACATTGGAGTCAAGTATGCAGAGAACTTACACTGTTGGATTAAGGACAATGAAAAGCTGGCCAAAGAGTAATTGGTTTACAGATTGGACCTAATAATCATGTCAACCAGGCAAATATTTATTATACCAGAAGCTACCTTTGTGTTACCAGAATGCAAACCCTGACAAACCAGACCACAAGTTACCTGCAGATAAGCACTACAAAAGAAGCCAGCCAGGCAAAGATACTGTTTAGCACCAGGTGTCAGGAGCAATACCTGTGACCAGAGCTAATAGAACAACCAGTGCTATCCACAATCTCCTGACAACCAAGTTGTTTTCCAGAGAAGAACGAGTGTCTATAGCAAGCTTGTCCAACCCATGGCCTGTGGGCCGCATGTAGCCCATGGCTTTCAATGTGGCCCACCACAAATTTCTAAACTTTCTTAAAACATAATCAGATTTTTTTTGCGATCTTTTTTTTTTTTAAAGCTTATCAGCTATCATTAGTGTTAGTGTATTTTATATGTGGCCCAAGACAATTCTTCTTCCCATGTGGCCCAGGGAGGTCAAAAGATTGGACAGCCCTGGTCTACAGGCTTGAGCAGCAAGTAATTGCCCCAAAGATGGCTGTCAAGGAACAGGGCAGATGGATCTGAAATCCGTGATAGTGTTTGTCAGGCATAATCGCCAGATGGAAATCATGTGAGAACCAAGAGGATTAACCAAGAGATTACCAATATGGTGACCAAGGCCTTGATTGTTAGAATTGAAGAAGGAGCTCTATTCTAGTCCATTTCCAAAATTCAGTAAGAACCAAACTAGCCTAGCTTTTCTTCTCTTCCAAAAACTTGATTTTTATGTTCATTTACCTTAAAGAAACACTGCCATACATACATTCCCAGTTCGGTCTTGAACTCCTGAGCTCAAATGGTCCTCCTGCCTAGGCCTCCCAAAGTGTTGGGTTTACAGGTGTGAGCCCCTGCACCTGGCCATTTTCTCCTTTTTTCTACCTTTTCCACAAATAGTTGCTTTTTATATTGTAACAGTTAAATTCTATAGCATAACTACTTGCATTTGAAATTAAAAGGACTATGACAATGGAGTGCTTTTTACAGCCAATTGTTTTATACATTTTTACAATCTTTTACGTATGATATTTTCTTTCTTTCTTTCTTTCTTTTTTTGGAGACAGAGTCCCACTCTGTCACCCAGGCTGGAATGGAGTGGTGTGATCTCAGCTCACTGTAGCCTCAACCTCCTGGGCTCAAGGGATCCTTCCACCTCAGCCTTCTGAGTAGCTGGGACTACAGGCACGCACCACTACACCTAGTTAACTTTCTGTATTTTTTTTTTTTGTAGAGACAGCGGGGGGGTCTTACCTTATTGCTCAGGCTGGTCTCGAACTCCTGGGCTCAAGTGTTCTGGCCTGCCTAGGTCTCGCAAAGTGTGCTGGAATTGCAGGTGTGAGTCACTGTGCCTGGCCTACTTATGGTATTTTCGAACAATATGAAACCTTTCAAAAAACCAGTCTAGTGTCTAGTCCATGTGAAAGACCAAACTCAGAGTAGAATATAGTATTTGCTAACTAAATCCAAGTTGCAGGAGCTTAGAGATTTAAATATCAATGTTTGTACAATATTGTTTGCTAATTCTAAAATAAATTCATGATCAGTATGCATTTGTGGTTAAATGTATTCTCATTCTATTATATAAACAGATTTATTCTGAGGATGTTTCCAAAAGTGCTTATGCAAAATTATTCTGCCAGAAATGTAGGCCTGATGGTTTATTCTTACAGGTTTATTCTTTATATTTTTATAGACTTATTCTTCCTGTTTGTGCCAATGTATCAATCTAAAATTAGTTTGTTTTCTTTCAGTCTGTTTATTGCTTCTGAAAAAGGGGACGCTGCTCAGCTGGTGTTGGTGTTGGGCTTGACGACACTGTTTCTGTGAATGTTGAAAAACTACAAACTAAAATCAATGTGGCTGCTTGTGAGAAAGAACTGCTGCTGCAGAGAAACTGTTAGAGTGGTGCTGATAGCAACAGAGCCAACGGGAAGGAGCTCGTTTTCTTCCTCATCCGGCCTGCGTCCAGTGTCCCTCCAGCACCTCCTATTGTCAGAACTTAATAGGAATAGTTGGCAAAGCAGAAATGAGATTTCTAAGTCCCAGCGTCACAGAGCAAAATCTAAAAGGGTAGGTTTGAAACTGAAAGACAGTAGCTTAACAATGGCATAGGCCCCTTTACTTCTGAAACACTATGATTCCATGCACCCAGAAGAATTGGGAAGGGCACAGAAAGCACCCGAAAGATCAGTGAAAAATGGTGAAGATATGGTGGAATTTGGGAATGTATAGTTTTAGGTAGTTATCTAAAATTGTCCCTGAAATTGGTAAGTGAAATAAAGCTTGTGAAGGGGATATTAATTAGGCCACAATGGAAAGTAATCTTTATTTAGTTTATATTAGATAACTTTTTTTTTTTTTGAGATGGAGTCTTGCTCTGTCCCTCAGGCTAGAGTACAATGGTGCGATCCTGGCTCACTACAACCTCCGCCTCCTGGGTTCAAGCGATTCTCCTGCCTCAGCCTCCCGAGCAGCTGTGATTACAGGCATGTGCCACCATGCTTGGCTAATTTTTGTATTTTTAGTATAGACGGGGTTTCACCATGTTGGCCAGGCTGGTCTCGAACTCCTGACCTCAGGTGATCCACCCACCGCAGCGTCTCAAAGTGCTGGGGTTACAGGTATGAGCCACAGCGCCTGTCCTAGATAGCTTTTTAAAAATTTTTGGCACAGTGTCAGACATTTACTGGAAGCTAAGTAAATAAGTGATGGTTGGTAATCTTCAAAGTTCTCTGGTTATAACTATACCGACATCAACTGGACCATTTTGTTTGAGAAACAAATTGAGAAAGTATCAAGTTTCTCCTTTAGTTTCACTTTTATCGTTGGTGCTTTACCAAGCTTGCATTTCTCTGGCTTCTAGAGTCAGCATAAATAGTTCCTTTGTTTTCCAAAGTTCCTCCTGCTCCTCTAAATGCTCTATATCTAAAAACTCATTTAAGAAACAAGTTGGAAAGTTTGCGTGTATGGAATGTGCTTTCAAAATAAACACTAAAAAAAAAATAAATAAATAAAAAATTTTTAAAACACCACTAAAAAAAAAGAAAAAAGTAGTTTTTTGAAATTCTAATGATTAGAAAGAATAGATGGTGAAACCAGTGGTTAGCTATCTAGCAGTGAAATAGTTGAGAAAAAGAGATAAGGGAAGTGATGATGATGATGATGATATTGGATTAAAAGAGCAATAGAGACTGGAACAATCAGGAAAAAAGAACAAAGGTCACTAGCAGAAATAAAGGACATGACTTAGCTCTTACAGAGCTTTACAGGTATTGTATTGTATTAATCTTAAAGTGCTATTTTTGGCCGGGCGCGGTGGCTCAAGCCTGTAATCCCAGTACTTTGGGAGGCCGAGGCGGGTGGATCACGAAGTCAGGAGATCGAGACCATCCTGGCTAACATGGTGAAACCCCGTCTCTACTAAAAATACAAAAAACTAGCCGGGCGTGGTGGCGGGCGCCTGTAGTCCCAGCTACTCGGAGGCTGAGGCAGGAGAATGGCGTAAACCCGGGAGGCGGAGCTTGCAGTGAGCCGAGATTGCGCCACTGCACTCCAGCCTGGGTGACACAGCGAGACTCCGTCTCAAAAAAAAAAAAAAAAAAAAAAAATGCTATTTTTTTTCCCACAAATAGGTTGCATTTTACAAACAATGCATGCCAAAGTTTAATTGGCAGTATTCTTTCTTCGTGGTATAGAAAATAATAGGTATTTTATAATCGATGGCATCTTAATATATACTAATCTGCAATTTACAGGAGCTACATTTCATGTACATAAGCAAGTATAGATCTGAAAAGCTAGCTGTAAAAAATAGCCAATGATTATAGAATATTCACAATGTACTATATCTAGTTTGCAGAATTAAGGAGGGGATTCTCCATGAATAGTGCCCCCCCAGCCAATACTTCAATATTTATACAACTTTGTTGATCACCATCCATGCTGTGATTCAAAATCTAATTCACAGGGCTATGTGTAGGAGGCACACAAGTTTTTCATACAAATGAGACAATTTTTGTGTGTGTGTGAAAGGGGGGGCTATTACTGTTTTGGGAAAACAGATGTAACCCCTAACTATTCAGG